TGATGATGATGATGATGATGATGATAATGACGATGATGAAGATGAAGATGACATTGACGATATTGATGGTATTTGACCAATTTCAAATTGTTTCTGAATGCTATTGTTATTAGTAATGGGAAGAGCAAGTTTTAAAGTAGCTCGTTCAGCTATCATATCATTCATATGAACATAAACAATATGTGTTTGGACAGTGTTAGGAGTAGAGAACTTCATATCACAAAATAAGCATTTGTATTCAGTTACATTACATGTATTGTTTTTAGATTTACCTGGATATATTATATTTAAAGATAATAACTGATTACTCAATTCTTCTGGATTCTTCCAATTATCCGTATTATTGCTGATAATATTTGAGTGGAAGTGTTTTTCGTGACATTTCAATGAAATACTTGTTTCCAAAACTTCGCCACAAATATGACACATATGTCCATTATAAACATCTCGACAAGAGTGAGTTAATTTCTTATGTTGGTTAAGAAAATCAAATGTTTTGCATCGTCTATTACACTTGTCACATTTAAAATCTCCCTCATTAGAATAAAATTCTTTGTGCATTACCATATGATCCATATTTCTACATTTCATCTGACAAATTTGGCAAGTATACTCATTGGATTGATCATTTTGGTTTTCTTGATCCGTAGAACAATTTCTAATCTGTTTCTGGACGTTGGATGAATCCCGGCTTCTATTCTTGGTATCTTCTTTAGATTCTTTTGCAGTTTCACCTAAATTCACTTCATTCGAATGCACATGCATATTATGCGAATAAAAATGTGACTCATGATTGAATCCCTCATGGCATATCTCGCAGATGTGATTGTATGATTTGCGTTTATCTTCTGGACAATGTGTAAGTTTGTTATGATGATGAAACATGTACATTCCTTGAAAGTTTTGTTCACAGAGTGAGCATCTAAATGTATGATTTTTATAATAGTACATTCGATGCTCAACATAGCGATCATGAGTTTCAAATACCAAATTACAAACGTTACATACTGTGCTACGGGTAACTGATTTGTTGGATTTCTCTTGATTTATATTAGGATTGCATGTGAGCGTATTGAGTACTTGTTGACCATGTAAGTGTAATATATGAGACCGAAGATCGTGTTTTTTAAAAAAACCTTGGTTACAGAATACACAATGAAAATTGTAAGTTTTTGAAATATGTGGTACATGCGCTGCAGTAATATGTGACTGTAAAAAACGTTTAGAACTAAATCCAGTGCCACACAATGGACAAATATCAGGGGTAAAGCTAAAATTGCGTACATGTATTTCCAAATTCTTGGGAGTTTGAAATTGCTTTCCACATATATTGCACGGATAAGTTCCATTCTTTGTTGCAATGTTATTCAATTGTGTATTCGCGACATCTTGATTACTAATTGTGGAATTATTTTCCAAAAGCTTTTTAGGGTGTTGCGATTCGTTAATAGTTCCTATTTTGTCCTTAATTAAGTTATTATTAACAAGAATGTTTTGATTAGCTTCATTGATTTCTTGTTCTTTTTTATGAAACGATATTTGATGTTCATTCGATTTTTTTACACAGTCGCTATTTAATGGATTACATAAATCATCCAGATTAATTTTTTCGTGACATATTATGTCAACTATATCATCGGGCTTCTCATGTTGTACTTCAGAAATATCCTTTGGGGATGAATTTGCTTCTTCCATGGAATCTTTCTGATCTTCTTCTATTTCTTTTTGTACTGTACAATGACTTTGATGTTCCTTCAAAGATGTTCGTGACAAGAATGTCTCGTCACGAAGATACTTAGATTTTTTGGTCAAGTTGCATTCTAATTCAGTATCTATTAAATATTGATCATCCTGTCGTTGAATATACTTCAGACAATGAACATTTAAGTGTTGCTTCAACGCTTCATAATCAGATAATAGCATATAACAAATACAACATTGATTTTGTTTAGAAACATGTTCGCGTAGATAATGTTGAAGTAATTTATGCTTCAACTTATAACGTGCACCACATATGCTTGACATATATGCTATATGAGACGACTTAATATGTATACGTTTGGCCAATTTTGAAGAAAAACTCTCCTTACAAACTTTACACAAAAAATAATTGTTATTGTGTTTCTCAACATCCGGTGTTTTTTCTTTTATATGTACAGTTGGAACAACTGTTAAACGTTCCAAAGAAACCTCTACGTCTTTTAGCTTCACTTCATTTCGTACATCACTTTCTTGAAAGTTGCATCCAGAAGTAAGACAAGTGTTTTTCTTGGTTTTAAGAGCAGAAATTTGATAAGAATTTCTTGGTTGTTCATCACATCTTGTTAAAAAAATTGTACACTCCTTGCATTTAAAATAAGCCATAATAATTTTCCAATCCACTTTAGAAGTTATCTTTTCTAAATTAATCGTTTGCTTTAAAACCCCGTTTTCTTTATTTTTAATATTAAATTCTGTACCAAATCGAGACTTCTTAGATACATTTTTGTTCTTCCTCATTCCTAAATTTGCACTTGCTTCCATGGAAGAAATTCCATTTAAAGATCGTAAACTGTAAGGTATTCCACGATCATATGAAATAATATTACTGGTTCCATCTTTGGTTATTTTATTTTCGACAACCGTATCAGAAAGTTTTTCTAGAAAAGACTTCATCATTTCAACATCTGCATGTAGTTTTACAAATGGCTTTTTATGCATTTCATGTTTCATACTTTGTTTCTGAATAGAACGTACTGTTCGTTTTAGAAGATTATCTGATTGTGTAGATAAAAGATCAATTTGTCCATTTTGTTCTACTGGAAGTTTTTTTATTTGATCATCACGATGTAAAGCACACGTAGGAAAATCATCTTTTGTAATGTTCAATTTACTTGGACTAAATTTAATATTGCGTTTTTTTTTGCAAAGCTCAAGATATTCCGTTAATGTTGGTTGTCGTAATCTTTTAGTTGGCGACACTTCGTTATTGAATAATTTTTCGGTTCTTGATTTCTCAGTATTAATCACATCATCGTTACGAGATTTATTTATAAGCGTAGTATTTATCTTTCCTGATTGAACAAGATTATTTGAACATAATGAGTTTTCACTTGCACTAGTTATTAAAATATCATTTTCAGGAGATTTATTTACTTTAAAGATCTTGGATTTGGAAGTCTCACGTTTAACAGTGTTATTAAAACATATTAACTCATTATGTACATGAAATAAGTGAGATTGTAAAAGCAATTTTTTCTTAAAAGTACGACTGCAAAAATTACAATTGTATGAAGATAAGTATGTACTACGCATGCTATGTACGCAATGACACGTATCAGACTGTAATTTGTCGTTAGCTATGAAATATTTATTACAAACCTTACACTTATTCCTTTTATCAAGTTCGTAATATTGTTTATGGATTTTCCAATGTGAAAGACAACTGAATTTCCTAAAACATATGTCACATGTAAATTCCTTTTTTACTAATTTATTCTTACATTGTATTTTTTTTTTATAATCTAATGTAATGCTTTTTTGTTTTCTTTTTCTCTTAACATTTTTGGTTACTGAACATAGTGTACTAGTGTTTTTATTACTAAAGATTTCATTGGAATATTTTCGTTTCTTAAAACGTGGTAAGGTATTATCTATTTCTTTCTTTGTTTTTACATTTTTACGATCTGTATTAACAGTATTAGTTACGTCGTTTGTATGTGCATTCGATGAATGTCCGTTTCCTGTGTTATTTATGCTTTTATATGACTTATTAGATAATGATTTGTCGCAATAATGATGATCATGATCAATTAAACTATAATAATTTCTAACTATAGGAGTATCATATTCAATTGTATTCGATGTTGTATCGACAGGCTCTTCCTTAATCTTCGTCCCATTATGGATTTCTATACCAAGCTGAAAAACATAAAATCAATTTTAACTTCCTAAGTCAGCTACAAAACAGTGAAATATATTCAAAATTCTATATAAAAATAAATATATTCAAAATTCCATAAAAAATAAATATAAAAAACTAGTTTAAAAAACCAAAATGAACTAATAACGTAAATATGCATCACAAACAGTGCCTTGTTGAATGGATTTAGTATTCTTTCTCTCCTAATTAATAAGTGTAAACTCAAAGTTGGGAAGTAACTAGTTACTTGTAACTAAGTTACAGTTACAGTTATTTTTTTTAATAACTGTAACTACTTAACTTAATTCCTTTTTTATCTGTAATTGTAACTTAACTTAGTCACATTTCTTCCAATAACTAGTAACTAATTTAACAGTTATTTTTACAGTTACTTTACATTTTAAACTTATTTGTCAATTTAATGTGA